GAATCCTCGAGAGTGTTGCATCTCGTGAAAACTTCATATGTAGGTGGCCCCCCCGGGTTCAACTCCTGCCTGGGACGTCTCTGGGACGTGTGGCATGGGGCCGACTGTCACCCGCTTCACCCCCGCCCTGGCCTCAAGTAGATATCGAAAGCAGGCCATCGCTACTAGGGTGGCCATCGCTACTAGGCTAAGGCCATCGCTCTTAGATTGGGGGCCCATCGCTACTAGGGTGAAGGCCATCGCTCTTAGGTTGGAGGCCATCGCTACTAGGGTGGAGGCCATCGCTCTTAGGTTGGAGGCCAACGCTACTAGGGTGGAAGCCATCGCTCTTAGGAGGCCATCGCTACTAGGGTGGAAGCCATCGCTCTTAGGTTGGAGGCCATCGCTACTAGGGTGGAGGCCATCGCTCTTAGGAGGCCAACCCTACTAGGGTGCAGGAAGATGCCTCAGAGGATTGCTGTGCGGCTGGATGCCTTGAGACCCGTTTCCTCAAATTTAGGGTGACTACGCATGTCACGTAGTATATAACCGGCTACCTGTGGTTTCACTTGGAACGCTGTTGGGTTCCTCCGAGATGCCGCAGTGATTTGGTGCACCTTCCGCATGCCATTTGGCGCTGTGTAACGAAGTGAGGATCGCTTCGCATCACCAAAGACCGGCCTGAAGGTGCCAAAGGCATTACTTTCTTCACCTTCCAGGATCTGGGCAGGAAGGAAAGAGGTGGAAAGTCTCAAATCTGTGCTGGCACTTGAGACTTGCGGGATAGAAGATAAATATGTCAAAACCGTGTAGTTGCTTCTTCACTTGCATTTGGCATGGTGCAGAATTGACATTGACATGCAGCTCAAGAGACAAGGAACCTACTTCATGTTGATTAACCCTTGTTTGTGCAGGATTCAAAAAACGTCGGATCCATTCTGGTGGGTGGGAGAATGAAGAAGGATTTTCCCTTTCACTACCGTCGCTTGGCATCAATAGTTTTATGATTAACTTAACTACCGTGCTTGGAACTTGCTTGAGTACTCTCAGATAGATTAGTCGCATCGGTTTGCACTGAATGTTGCCGTTACTTGCGTCGAAAGGTCTTCGGGAAGTCGCATCGGTTTCATGATTCCATGGGGTTTTATAATGTTTTGAGAACATGCGACATGCAAATGATGTAGCTATTCCCTTGTTTTACGATGACTTTCACATGGGCACCTTTCTTTCAATGCTACTGGGGCCTCGCTTAGTCGTATCAAAATGGTGTGCCCTTGGGGATTGGCTTATCTATGGATGTTTGTTGTTGTTCTATTTGTTCTACGAACTGATGTTAATGTGCTGTGCCCATGCGTTGCTTGCTTGTGTGATAGATTCAACAACCTTGTTGCGTCATTGCATCGTGTTTTTGCAACAGACAGCGTGAGTTATTAGGGTTCTTACTTCAAGGAGCTGCATGTGTGCGTTTTCGAGCGTGGGTGCTGGTGCCGCTGCAGGGTGCTGCTGTTGTTCCAGTGTCGGAAGAGCTGCGTGTTTGCGTGCTCAAGCTTGGGCGCTGGTGCCGCCGCAGGGTGTGCTGGGGAGCTTGGGTGCTGGCGCGTTGCAGAGTGCCGCTGCTGGTGCTGCTGCTGCTGCTGCTGCTTTTTTGCTGCTTGTTTGCTGCTTGTTGGCGGCTGCTGCTGCTGCTGCTGCTTGTTTGCTCCTGCTGGTGTGCTGCTGTGCTGCTGCTATTGCTGTTGTTGTTGTGGTGGTGGTGGTAGCTGCTGCTGCTGCTGCTGCTGGTGTAAATGCCTACTGCTGCTGCTTCCGCAAAGGAAATGGCATACTTTCGTAAAAAAACCAAAACATTCTTCAAGCACTAAAACGCCTTGTAAACAGGAACCTGATGTGACCCTGATGTGACCCGGTCGCATCGGGCCCCCCCTTGCAGATTAACAGTTTTCCAGTCACCTGATGTGACTAATATTGATGACAGTACCCTTCCAACTGAGAAGCCCCAACCGGCAGGCAGGCAGGCAGGCAGGCAGACAGACAGACAGAGAGAGAGAGAGAGAGACACAGACAGCCAGGCAGGCAGGCAGGGAGGCAGGCAGGCAGGCAGAGACAGACAGAGACAGACAGAGACAGACAGAGAGAGACAGAGAGAGAGAGAGAGAGAGAGACAGAGACAGAGACAGACAGAGACGGAGCTGAGACACAGACAGAGACAGACAGACAGACGTCAGACAGACGGGCAGGCAGCAAGCCAGCCAGGCAGGCAGGCAGACAGACAGACAGAGACACAGAGAAAGAGAAGGAGAAGGAGAAGGACAAAGAGAAAGAGAGAGCACTTGTGAGATCGGCTTGTTTATGCTTCTTGTAGGCATACTGTCCATCCACCACTGAAAGATGAGGTCTGAATCCGGACATCGTCAATATGAGCCTCCGGGTCCACGACCATGGCACCCCGGACAAGGATTTCTTCGAAGTTGAGGGCTATTTGAGTTGCAAGGCCAGCTTTGGGCACTTTGTGTTCACAAGGGCAGGTGTGGACAGAGGCTACTGCTTTCAGCTGGCTTTGGCCACAGTTCCTCAGCATGGGCAGGTGGACTGCAGTGCGCGCGCGCTGGATACGGACACTGGCTCCTGCGAAAGCCTCACAACCGACAGGGTGCGCTGTGAGGCCTTGTGGGGTTGAAAGCGGCATATGACTATAATAATGACAAGTACGATTGTTCAGTGTTTTTGCAGTTTTTAGGTCCTCCACACCCTGCAAGAATAAGCAGGTGAATGGGAGCACAGCACTGGACTGCCAATGTATAATATATATATATATATATATGTGTGTGTGTGTTTTTTTTTTTGTAGCTCTTCCGTTGGCCTGAAGCTTGTCCCTGTCAGGGCGCAGCCGACCCACATGGCAGGCCATGCCAGTGGAATGGAGAAAGCTGCTTCAGCATAGAGTCAGGGCGCTGCTCACGCAACTCGCTTGGACAATACTTGTCATTATATACGTAGAAACTTGTGAGGTGGCTCAAGTGTACTGACACGGGGTTGACGCACACACAAACATATATATATATATATTTTTACTTTAATTCCGAAAAGGCATCACTTTTTAACTGGCATTGCCCTTGAGGTGAGACTTTGTGCTACGAGGTCTTGGATGGCATGAGCGACTGCAGCAGTCGGACCGATGCTAGGCTGTCCGTGGCCGCTACGTATCCAAGCTGCTGTCCCATGCCATGTAACATCATATAATACCAATTTTTTAGACCATGCAATTGGGAAAGCCAAGCGCTCGAAGCACTAGCATTTACCTGCTGAGGACTACGACTCTTGCTGCCAGCGGACTGATTCCTCCGGAACCCTGTGCGGATGGAAGGATAAGGCCTCTTGAATTCTTCTTTTTTTGGAATTCCACCACATATCCTCACATGAATATTCTGCCACAAGCAATTGCGTCTTGCGTGTGTCACAAACATCATTGCCTGCGCTTCAGCATGTCTTGATCCATCAGGACAAGAAATGCTTTGCGTCAACCTTCAACTGCAAGGCGGCCGCAAGAGGTGAATATTGCTTTGCAACGCCAACTTCTTCGCTATCGCTATCAGTTTGTTTTTTCCTTTGACTTTTTAACTGCCCTTTGTTGCGGAAAGGATGTTACAACACATGGCACGCGGCTGGTGCCCTTTTTTGTGACGGTGAGAGTGCACATGTAGCAAGACCTGGGCAGGCAGCACACGGGTGGCACAACCAAAAGGGCAAGGTCACCACTACGCAAATGGCCAGCTACAAGGCTCCAAGGGAGATAAAATAGATAGATGCAGTAGATATACATATGCACACACGTATATATATATATATGCATATTATGTGTTATTGTTTCTCTCCGCAGCTCAATAACTGTGGAACAACTTTTTGCAGCCTGGCGTCATATCATGTCACTCGGTCATGAAAAAGGTGTGCAGCAAGTTAGACAAGCAAGTCACGCCACCCATCGCACAGCTATGGGTTGGTATATAGTGTCCGAACGCCTTCTTTTGCCAGCCTGCAGATGCCAAGTGGACTAAACGGAACTGTAGGGGTGTGACGGAATTCACCATTGAAACAGTGTCCCGTGTTAAACAAACCACTTGATTCCACTGTTGTGTGGAATATGTTGCAACTGCCAAAGACATGAAGATTTGAGCTATTTTACCTTGAGCAAACAGGCGTTCCAACAAATTCCAAAGCTCCCGCTGTTGTGCCAAGCTGTAGTTGTGCAAGATCTCTCCACCTTTGCTTGTGGAGCTGGGTCACCCCGGCAGGAATACATTACGGAGGGCAAGTCCGAGGCCTACAAGATGGTGAACTGAGGACATGTCCAAGCATCTGAGGACCCGGACTCCTACTTTTGTTTGGGTCGTTTGTGGTTTAGACATTTGGGAAGATCTCAAACATATATATATATATATATAGAGGTAGGACCGGGTAAGAGAGTCAAAGCCAAGTAAACCTGTCCTGGCAAAGACAAGGATTCAAAGGTACGATCGATGTTTGCCACGTCAGAGAATCCGAGAAGTGGTGTCCGCACTGCGGCCTCCTCCGCAAGGACAGCGCACTGAGAGCTCAAGCGTTCTGGTAGATCCGCGCCATTCTTGGACATTGGCCCAGAAAGGGGAGTGTAAGAGCCAACTACTTCAGTCAACTGCACCAGCAGAGCCTGCAACCTGCATGACCTTTAACAGAACCATGTAGCCGCCAGGTGGATTTCTCTTTCATGGCCAGGTGCTTGCGGCGCCCCTGAGCGCACAAAGCACTGTACCTTTCACCCAGACAAATCGCCGGCGCTCCACCGTCGCTGAAGCAAAAAGTGAGAGGGGAGTCTATTTTGCCTTGGTTAGTCAATTGTCATCAATTGCCGATCGTCTTTGCAGTGGCTTTTGTTGCTTTGTAGTTTCAAGAAGCCATTCAGATAGCCTATAGAGAAGATCTGTCAGACTCTTCTGGTTTTTGGCGTCCTTGGCCACAGCAGACTGGGGTTTCTTGTGGCACACAAGGTGTGACAGCTGATGTGCGAAACTGGAAGGGAGTTGGGGTTCCCAGATGGGGAGACAAACGAGTAAGTTGGACTCTGGCAGTCTATGAACTCCCGTATGCTGCTACCTGGGAAAGAACTAACAGAGCTGCTCCTAGCAAGTTCAAGTTCTAGCGCTGCTGAAGAAGCTAAGTTATCACTTGAATGAACATGATTGAAAATGGCTGCCTCGTATGCAGTGCACACTTTTCAGATACAGAGACGAATGATGACCAATGGACATCTTGAGAGGAACCTGCACTTGTTCAGATCGTTCCGCGTCAGCTGCTTGTAGTCGAGCTCCAGGCTCTCCCAAACGCCATCACATTTGAGAACCGGACCTTCTACCTCCGAGGTCTACGAAGCCAGCCGAGTCATGGAGAAGCTTCTGAAACATCACGGTGTCAGCGGCTGGAACGCACCTGTGGCCGCAAGTGGATAAAGGATATTCAATAGTGTCCTGCGGGGACGGGGCTCAAATCATGTAAATTTAAAATTGTGTATGTTATGTTGTTAATGTATCTCATGCACATATACATATACTTATACTTCATAATTGGTATCCAGGAAATACAGATTTAGCAAAAAAACTTAACTCTTCAAGGAAACTGCGTTGATTTGAACTTGATTTGGGTGCATGACGTGAATTGTAAACCCTGTTGCAGCCCCCCGTTGCGGACGAGCTGCAAATAGGTTCTGATTCATGCCGTGTCAATCCGTGTCACAGTTTGCCCGAACTTTGTACATGCTATTTGACAGTGTGCTGACAGAATTGTAGAGCCCTGACTGGAGCAGCCAACATGGCTCAGGATCCCGACATGCTCATTGGCAGCAGCCATGGTGCCAAACTGGTCCTCACCCCCGTCACTCGGAAGGAATCGAGAAACGGAGTGGCCCCTTGTAGACGACTCTTGTAAGGTAGACGACCCTTATAAGCCTACAAAACCGTTTGATTTCTCACGGTTTTCTTTTCCTGGGCTTTATGCCCTCCCGGTTGGGTGTTGAGGGCGCATGTTTCACAAGAGACCAACATGATCAACCGCTCATCCACTTGTTAGCAAGTTGAGGCCCAATCTCGAGCACAGTTCTCATTGTGGGCTAGCTCCTCATGCTTTTGGCGAGTGCAGGATGTCAGTCATGTGTTTTGGATCACCTTTGTTGCAGATGCAGATTTTTAGAATCAGGCCGTTATGTCAGCACCACTAATGCTGGGTGTCAATGTCATGAAGATCACTGACTTTGATGTGGACACTTGGCCACAACTGCGTGTGAAGGAAGCCCTATGGCACTTGAGGTCTGGCCTTGATATACAGGCCGGCCGAGGTAGGTTCCAAAATGGAGAGGGTCTGATACTACACAGGGACATGCGCCGGTTGTGTGATGTGCATGTCCAAGCTGAGGAGACGTACAGCATTTTGGCTTGCACAGAAGGGCGGTGCATGAGCGCATGACATGGCCAGAAGGCATGCAGGTGAGACTTCGGCGGGATTCAAGTGTGACTGCACCTGCTTGGATTGTGCTTGGCATTGGCATGCGGCCTAGCTGCTTAGCTCATGACCAAAGAATTGAGGTAATGCCGAGGCCATTCGGATTAACCAAGACCCAGACTTCAAAACAGGAGATCAATGGAGATCGGCTGCGATGAGATGTTTGGTTGGGCAGGTGATCTCATGGTTCCTGCCAGAGTGTTGTGCCCCACAGATTGGCAGAAAGTACCGTAAGCAGATTTCTACGGGCGCGGGATTGTGGACAGGCCGGTAGTTGGAAGTGGGGGAGGCGGCTGCATTTGCAACGCGGGATGGCACCCTGTGAGAAGCTAGGATGAATATGGACTTACAGATGCTTAGAGTCATTAAAGTTACTGTATGAATCTGTATGACATGATTACTACTGTATGACTGGATGATTAGCTTTTGAAGTATATGAAGGCGCACGAGTTGGCAAAGTTTACACCTCGCTGCAGGACGAGTGGTCTTTTCAAACTGCCCTGCCTATCCAGATCTTGAGACGGGTGCCTTGGAAGCTCCTCACCTCCCAGAGTTTGTCCAAAGTGATGGTTCTCCTCCAAATCTTTGGCAATGAGCCCCACCAGATTTTACAAAGGAATTCCACAGTCTACGCTGGTGGCAGGTGTGAATCTTGATGGATCACCTGCCTTTAGTATTCGTTGGCCGCATGGCGGCGAAGCTCGGCCTTGACTGAGTGACCAGCCTGTGCACGGGGACAGCCTGTGCAACAAGCCTGTTCTTACAGTATACACGGATACCCCGCTATTAGGTTGGAGGCCATCGCTAGTATGTGGAGGCCATCGCTATTGGGTTGGAGGCCATCGCTACTAGGGTGGAGGCCGTTGCTGTTCTTTTCCAAGGCATTTGCAGTATACCCCGTGAGGGGGAGATTAATTACTGTATCAGCCCATTTGTACGAGGGAAAGGATTTGATGCACATGTGGCACACATCCATCTGCTGGGTGTTTCCCCACAATCTTCAGTCGTTGTCAGCATTTTTGTCAGGTGAACTGTGGTAACCATATCGCCAACAATTGTCACTTGGACTGTCAAGAAAGAGTATGGCTTGTCGGTAGTGTCCACTCCTGCCTTTCCCCCTCGGTTCCCAGCCCATCATCCCCACATCATCAAGGGTAGTCCCACCACCTTAGAAAACAAACACATTCCACATAATTAGATGCATACAAGTCTATATCCTTATATTGCCGCCACAGATCAATCACCCTAATGGACCTCACAGTTTTCGTTTCCTCTTAAAGGACATGAGTAGCACTACTGTACTCCGTCTCCTTGCTGCTCTAAGCATTGGGAGATGTGGTTCTTCCGAGCATTCTAGCTGGAACTGGAGCATGCAATTACATGTATGCTAAGAAGCAGTGATGGAATTTGACACATCACCTCCAGTGTGACAATCCGTGGGCTCAGCTTGAGCTGCATTGTCCTGGCAGGTGGTTCCTGTGGTACGGGCGATGACCGATGCCATGGCGCCTGCAAGTGGATACGGAATCCTGGAGGCAGGATCCTCTCTAAACTTAACCAACCTGTTGTGACTCCAGACTTGTTTGTAAATGACGTTTGCAAAGCCGGAAGGGAACCAAGGCTCAAAACTGAAGTCTCTTGGATGCTGGGAGACGCGAGTCTGAATGTGTTGAAATTTAGCACTCAGAAACCATGGAAAGTCCATGGCCAGGCGATTTGCCAAAATGCTTGCCTGTAGACAACACTTCCGTCGCAGCCTCAGATGCCTCACAGCGAAAGAGGGAAGGTGATCAGAATCTGAGCCTTCGCAAGTTATCCTTGTCCTTGACCAAGGCAAAGACCAATGTCAGCTGCGGGGGCCATCACGTTTCTTGCCTTATTGGACTGGTCCCATAGCAGATAGCAGAGTTGAAGGTCTAGAATCTGAGATGCTTTGCGAGCCTTGCAACGCTGCAAGCTGGCCCAGGCGAAGAGCTGTGAAGAGTGTCCACGAGGAAACGGCAGGCTGTCCGCACGCGCTGCGCCGCTGTGCGGTGTCCAGAAGTGGACATATTCCTAGGGGCCGAAAAATACACAGTCCAACAATCATGGCCTTCAGGACTTGGTGCAACAAGGACTGCAAGTGGTTGGATGAGGGAGAATGTGTGCCCAGTGACAAGCCAACGAGCTATGAAGATCGTCTCTTGGCACCGAACGGTGCCGCACCAGAAGCGCCCAACAAGCGGAGATGTGTTTTTTCAGATGTTTGCGAAGGGATGAGTGCAGATGTATATGGTATACAGTATGCAGTTTATACGCATGTGCATACAGTAATTGTCGGCACGTATCACGATTTGATGCTTTCCACGATGCTTCAACAGCCCTGAATTCGAAGCTGCTGACTGCGAGTGGGATGAGGGAGAGAGAGAGAGAGAGAGATAGAGGGGGGTGAGTGAGTGAGAGAGAGAGAGAGAGAGCGGGGGGGTGAGTGAGTGAGTGAGTGAGTGAGAAACAGTTTTATGACAAACAAGTGGGTTGCAGAGCTCAGCGGAAGCACGAAGGCCACAATCACCAACGAAGAAATTGAGAGATTTGCTCTTAGGTTGGAATCCTTGGACCCTTGAAATGATAAACGATCAGGCAGGTCTGGTCTGATGGAGTGACGGACTCATAAGATTGATTGCTTTGGCAAGGCCCATCTGTTCATGACACTGCCGGAACCCTGCTGCGGAGACCTGCTAGGCCGAGCGAGAGTGCCAGATCGTTTGGGCGAAGACATTGAGCCTCGTGGCGCAATGGAATCGGAAGGCGGATTTGGGGAAATCATTTGTTTTACACTACTACTTGACTAGCGATTTAGGAGGCATTTGCCATATTGGTGGTTCCATCTTGAAAGCCTGGATCTGCTCAAACATCATAGCGATGTTGCATTATGCAGCGTCTCCGGTTACAAGCCCTGTAGGGACCTGGGATGACCTGGAATGACCATGAGACCCGACGCAGTGGCCGCAACTTGAGGTACGGGTGAAGTGGCTGTGGCCGGCGTGAACTTTGCAGCTCGTAAAGCGGTTGTCTCACTGCAGTTGTCGAAGCTTCTGCAGGATCCAACTGGCTGTCCTTGGACACGTTTTGAGCATTTTAGTACGATGCCGATACGGACGGACTCATTTTTGCTTTTCCCTCTGGAGGGCTTTGCTATGCCATGCAGTTTTCATCAGTTTTCCCTGTATATATATAGTCCAATTCGGAGGCATTTGGCCATGAATGCAATTGACTTGAGGTGACACTCCCACTTTGTAACTGCAACGTGCAATTGCTCATTTGCTTCTTTGGTCTGTGGCTTGCAGGAGAAGACAGAGAATGTTCGACTGGCCGTCAAGAATGTTTGGCATCTCGGAAGCATGTGTGTGTGTGTGTGCGTGTGCAGGTGAGAATCATATAGAGCAGTTCGGAATGTATCCAAGAGGATCCAAGTGATTACGGCGTTTACGGGAAGTCCCGGTGGACATGGTTACGGTTAGACCTTGGGGTTATGTCCACCTGACCTGGTCTAATCCTGGTCTGCCTTTGGCGGCTAGAGTCGTAACAACCATAATTGTCAAGACCGTCTTTTCTGTTTGTCGGAGGTTTGATGGAGGTGTGATGTTCCAAAGCCACCTGAGATTGTCCTCAGCACTGGGCGTCGCTGGACCCGCGTCGTGGACATGAGGAGTGGGCAGTCACGCATGCAGTCTGGCGATCTCCACCTCAGCTTGGAGGCCCCAACCCAAGGTGTCACGATGCCTTTAACCTAAGAGCAATGCCCCCAACCTACTAGCAAAAGGAACCTATTATGGAGATGGCCTCCAACCGAATAGCAATGGCCTCCAATCTAAGAGCAATTGTGACAATTTCACCTACAATTCTGGGAACTCACGTGCCGCTTTGCCTTTGGGTCAGGCCAAGGGTGGCCACCAGCTGTTGCTCCTGATGGATGCAAAAGTGGCACGAGATCTGACGGAGCAAACAGTGCTTCGACCGCAACTGTTGAAGTAAATCTGCAACTCCGCAACCTAACTATTTCAAGAGCATCAGCTATCGGCCAGGGTATTCCCAATGTGTTGCCTATTTAAATATATCTATCTAGCTATCCATCTATCTATCTTTCATTTCATTTCATTTCATTTCATGTCATGTCATGTCATTTCATTCCATTCCATTCCATTCGATTCTATTCTATTCTATTCTAGTCTGTCTGTCTGTCTGTCTGTCTGTCTGTCTGTCTCTCTACCTACCTAGCTATCTATCTATCTATCTACCTACCTAGCTATCTATCTCTATCTCTATCTATATCTCTATCTCTATCTCTATCTCTATCTATTCTATTGTATTTTGTTGTTAAACATCTATCTAATCATCATCTAATCTATCTATCTTATCTATCTATCTAATCTATCTAATTGTATCTATCTAATCTATCTAATCTTATCTATCTATATACTCTTATCTAATCAATCCATCCCTCCCTCCCTTCCTCCCTCCATCCATCCATCCATCCATACATCTATCTATCTATACTCTTGCACGCCTTGGGGGCACTTTTGGGGTATTTTCTGCTGCAGATTCACGGAGGATCTCAGTGGCGCGGTTTGATGCTGAGGCGAAACATCGTCCTTGCATCGGAGCCTCGCTCCTTGAATGCAGGGGGTGGTGACAGCAGATGACAGCAGTGTCGTTCAGACTTGGAGGATTTGTGAGCCCTGTGTCTGAGGTGCTCGAACAACCGAAAGGCACCAAGTTGAATGTGCTGATTTTCCTTCTCTTAGCAAGAAGGCCCAATCACTGAACCTTCAATGATGATAGGAAGGCGCATTCTTCAGCCCTTTGCATGGCGATGTGGTCAAGGCTGGGCGTTCCGTCATTTTGGCTGTTTTGTTGAATCTCCTGCATCACTTGATACTGTGCACCCTTGCACAATCTTTTCAAGAGGGGAGCTTCAGAATCAACATTTGCAAGGGTCGCATTAACTCAGATCCCCGGTTGTATGCATGCCACACCAACAAATCAAGATTTGGCTTGTCATATTGAGTATGGATGCATGATGCATGATGCATGTCAATGTGAATGTTTCCAAGCAGTGTAGGAACATTCCATGTATTGTCGTGCCTTTTTGGTGCTTTGATTTCACCTGCAGACAAGAGGTCCCACACGCACTGCTGCTACTTGTATATGCGTCGCAGTGATGCCATTACTCGAGGAGCTTTTGTCCAAAAGCCCGCGGTCTGTGCTTGAGAAGCTGTTGGAGAGGTCGCTCCTTGATGGCATTGGAAGAAGGAAAGCAAAGAAGAGGATCCAAGAATACATCCCCATAAAGGTGCTGTTCCGCTGTGGTATTGGAAGCAGCTTGCAATCGGCCAGACGCACCCCAGGATCACCGAGCAAAAAGCCTTGCAGCAGCTGGGATGATTCTGAAGAATTGTTGATTCGTTTTCTTGCTCCACGACTTCGAAACACCTTGTCACTGAAGTCACAGCTGTCAAATTACACTATGAATGAATTGCATTGCAAGTTGCATTATCACCCTGCCTCTGAGTTTCCTTGCACAAGCCCCTGTGCAACACCAATCCCGCTAGGCCCCAGTACTTTATAAAATGAACTTTACCTTTGAGTGCCCTGGCTTCTTCAGGATGGAGGACCTTTTCCAAGAGTTGCCTGCAGAGCTGGACGAAGGTGCCTTGGCAATTGCAATGGGAGGCTTCGAACATCAGCAAACGATCCTGAATCCTTGCAATCTCCGGTTATATATATAATATATAATATATACTTGGCGTGCTCAACCAGACTTTGGGATTGCAAGAGGCTGCAATGTAGGGGCTTGCGGAGTTTGGTATATATATTGAGGCAGCAATCCTGGCTATGAGATTCCGACGGTGCTAGCACCCTGGCCGGAAACAAGCACAAGTCACAGTTCATCGCATGTTTGATGACATTGTGAAGGGAAAGGACAGATTTTTAAGATTGGACTCAATTGCCCGATGCTACTAAGCGGCTACTTGTCCTTCTACGGCTTTTCCTCGTCCTTGTCCTTGGTCTTAGACCTGCCCTAACTACCAACCGACGCAAGATGCTCCCAGAGTCTTTAGGAGCTCAAACTTGTGAGGCCTTGGTCTCACTGGCCTTTCTGGTCATCATTTTATGCACTCGCCGTGCCCACAAGTACACTCAGAAGTGACGCGAAAATGGTGCGGCCGAAAGTTGCTTCCAGTAGAGCTGTGTGAGAGTGGACTGCTGGATTCGCATGATTCCCCATAAACAAGTCGGCAATGTCAAAGTTTCCGTGCTGTTTTTTTTTGCGTTTGGATACGTTCGGATACTTGCAGGTGGATGGAAACGAGTGGTCTTATGGTTGCACAGATTCCTGGGACCGGCACTTATCAGATTGGTGTGCTATTGTGTTGCACTGGTCTTGAAACAAGCTGTTGCAATCAGCCTTGAGTTGCACTCCCTAGCTTGCAGGAAGATCCCGGCGTCACCCCCAACATTCCAAAGATGCACCCAGATCATCATTATAGGCGGGTCTGTTGTGTTGCAAACTCTGAGATTTTGTGTTGCCCACTCTGGGGTCTATGGAGGGGGAGATGTGTGTGTATATGTGTGCGAGAGCTCAGGCAGACTGTGAAAATGCGAACGACGGATTTGTCTGCGACGCCCTTGGTGCCAATGCAATTGAGACCACTGGAGGTAGTTTGGATAAGGCCGCATCACGGCAAGTACCTGTGAGTTGCATACCATGCTAAAACTTGTGGACATTGAAGATGGCTTCTCCAAGAGAAGGCCTTGCCAAGACAGAACCACAATCTACTGCTGATGGTCAACGGATGAGCACACAAGACGAGACCCCGCTGGTGCGCCGAGGCCCTGCAGGTGCAAGGCATTCTCGAGGAACTCATGCTCCAGTGCCAATCCGCAAAATTTGAAGCCTCTAATTCCGGACAAATATAGACAAATAAATATATAGAGCTAGCAGGAATCGTCATGAACTAGCTTTCGGCGAACAACTATTTTTGCGATTGTTGGTGGATCAGCGGCGCGGCTCCCTGAACGACACTGGGCACAGGGCACTGGTCAATGAACCTAGAGACCTCATTCTCATCCTCTTGTTTTGATTTCAGCAACCGGTCCCGGTCCCACATGGAACACGATGGGCGTTTGTTTTGAGCGTTTCCCGCTCAAGAGGGAGTGTCAACTTGTTGCGCTGAGAGCGAGGTACACAGGGCCCACCTATGACCTTTTCCGAAAGCGCTCTGGCGTGAGATGAGATGTTCGACTCACCAGGGCGAAACATATTGGGGGAGGAGCCCCTAGTAGCGTCCTTGCTCCTAGTAGCGAGGTCAGGAGCCCCTAGTAGCGAAAATTGTTTCTAATAGTATCTAATAGTAAGGCCAGGAGCCCCTAGTAGCGTCCTTTGTTCCTTTTGCAGCGGTTTGGCACTTCAAAAACTTTACTGCAGAAGCTTCTAGTATCGCTTCACGTGGAGCTTGGAGTGAAAAGACATTTGGTGAAGAGAAGTGAAGGATCAGCACAGTGTGGTTCGCGTAGACGGCAACTTGTAGGAGATGAGAAACATTGTAACATGCAGCCAAGAGGCACGCGACATATTGGCGCATAGCCATAGGCCTATATTGGGGATCATTGCCACTTAGCTTGGCTGTTTGAGCATGTTCCCGACTGGCCCAAGACAATGCAGATAGCTTGTTTGGTGGTTTAGTGAACACATGCTCTCGGGCAATTGTTGTGAGTGCATCACAGGAACTGCTGCCACTTTGCGGAGGACTTTTGCCAGCGGCTGGGTCCGCTGCTACGTCAATTGACCACCCTAGAAACAAACAAGTGGCTGTTCTTGCCCTTTGCTCTCCTAGCTTGAAGCCAGTTGGTTCTCATCAATTTGCCACACGTATGACTTTGCAAACGTTGTTTTGCTTGGACACTCAGTTTTACTCTGGATCCCAGATGCTTGGCTGGTTTTTTCAACAACTTTTTACAGCATGTCCCTCATCATCGAAACTTGAAACCACCACTCTTACTACCACTCTTCATCCCTCTTGAGTCGGAGCAGCTTGGGCCCAGACAGCATTTTGAAATTTGGGACTTTGTTGCATTTCATTTGCAATGGCTATATCATGTGTTCGCCAGGTGTTGGCTGCATCCCCGCTTGGGTCAGAGACCCCAGTGGTGTTGTAGCCTGCCAATGGCTGGCCAGTAAGGCTAGTGTAACGGGGACCTTTTATTGATTTAGTTGAGTACTAAGAACGGGAAGCAGGAGCAGCTTACAACTTGACAGACAGACTGACAGCGGATCTTATGAAGTACAGAATGCTGAGTCAAGCCATTTGGTGGGACAAACCACCAGCAACACAGGCTCATGAACTACCAGAGCCCAGAGCGACAACTCTTATCATTTACCGTCCTATACCAACCACGTACCTGCTAACATGCACATGCTGCACAAGCATTGTATAATACATCCACACAGGAAAGAGGAAATAGCAGAACTTTGAGGTGCACAGGCTCGCTCGCCTTGCCGCCAGAATCGAAAGCATCCTTGAGGCCAGCTTATATTGCAGGGATCGTCGCCATTTTGGGCAGAGACAATGCCAACGCACACTTGTTTGCGTGCTGTCCTATAGCCCTATCGGTCCTATGCTATGTTGATGTTTAACTTTAGATGTTGCTGGGTCCCATGGTCGTAGGATGACAATCAACATGCCTGCCACCATGCTCCGGAGGCAGCACAAAGAATTCGATCTCCCGGCTAACAGCTGCTAAAATTTAGCATTGCTGGCACCTCAGCCTTGTTCTTGTATAACTTCGACTGAGACTATAGTTCCCTCCTGTCAGACAGTCAAATGGACAACATAGCTTGACACACGCTGTGAACATAGGCTGGCCACGGCTGGCCAAAGCAGAAAACTGCTTGCCAAGCACACTGCAGGAAGGGAAAACACCCAAACGGGAACAGACAACACCCGCAAAAACCGAGACAGGAAGAGAAAGCACTCCAGGCCTGATCTACACGGCGGGGCATGATGAGACTGGCAACCGAAATGCCAAACAACAAGCGCCCGCGCGGAGACCGAAAACACCAAGGACATGTGAAAACATGTTGGAAGGCAACGGGCATTCGACGCCTTGAGCTATGCAAGCAGGAAGGGAAAACACAAAACCAGGAACAAAAACCCGGAGTCCAGTCCGAACGGTAAGGCTCCCAAGATGGGAGAGAGAGAGAGAGAGGGAGAGTTGTTGCTATATATATATATTTGCCGTAGTATATAATATTGTAACATAAAATAGTGTAATATAGTATATATATACTTATATATATAGATACAAACTAGTTGACTAGCTGTGACCGCTGCAGAAGCCTGGTGGACCATGCTTGGGCCGTACCTGGCATCGCTTTGTGCCCAAGGCAGGAGCATGCCCACCAGCTGCAAAGCAGCAGATCTGGGCCGCAGCACCTGCCCCGAGAAAAACCTGTTCTGGTTTACCAATCTGTGGAGTATGTTGAGAAGATACACCCCAGCCTCAAGGGCCTGCAGCGAATTCATAATGCAAGAAGATGGTGGTTTGCTTCCAAATTGCCAATGAAAGGAGTTGAGGTCCACACTGCATCACGAGGACAACAAGAAACCAAATTATATTCTTGCTTGCCAGTTTCAGGGAGGATTCTAGTAGAATAAACCCATGAGCCGTGAGGACAAAGACGCCATCACATTGAATCACTTGATGTACTTATTGAGCTCATGGTTGTGTGGATGATTTGACCTTTTGGCAACCGTAAGCATGGCTTAAACTGATTAGGAGTGGACATGATCACAGAATCATTAGCTTCCGCTAGATGCATCCACAGCATAGGTTCCACCAAGCTCTTCTGGAAGACTCTTCCGGCTTTTGTTTGCAATGGGCCTTAAAAATGAGATAGGCACTGCCACATCCTTTGGCTGACACATCTCTGACCAAGAACCTGTGACTTGATGCTTTATGATTCTTTCATCCTTTCTTTTTTTAGTTTATCCCTAAACGGAAAAAGGATGTGGCTCCTAGTTGTTCCTAGTAGTAAGGCCAGGAGCCCCTAGTAGCATCCGTGTTCCTAGTAGCGATGCCAGGAGCCCCTAGTGAGCGCGCACCCTTTAACTCTCAACATCTCTGATCATGTACGCCATGGGCCTCGATGCCACAGCCTACCCGCATGGACCGCATGGAGGCAGGTTTCAATGTGTCAACTATCAGTCTAACGTCCACTATGCCGTTTGCCGGCTTTGTAAGCATGCATTAATTGACAACGGGCCAGGCCTTCCTTCACATGTTCAAGTATGTTTAAGCACCTTGAAGTACTTTGGAGCAACTTCAACAACCTCTATGGTGAAAAGTGTGCAAACTGTAAACTCACTGATTTCGCGAGAGGCAAAATGCAGGTCGTGCAAGGTTTGCGAAAGCCCCTGCGAAAGCAAACCTGGAGTATACAAAAATGATCAAACATGTATAGGTGGTTTTTGAAGCCGATCATTGGTCCTTGGAGCAAGCTGATGAACTTCAGTAATGCCTGACAACATGCTCAGTAATCAGGCGGAATCAGGCGGAGAGTCATTGCATCATCGGAAGAAGTTGCCTATCATTTTGGCAAACTCTGGTAATTAGCAACTGATCATCCCGGAATCATTCCACCGTCGCTGCGCGGCAGGTCTGAGCTGGCCTTCTGCCATGCGATCCGCCAGGGCAGCCTAATGACTCAAGTCATCGAAGCATGTCAGAATACAATGGGTGGGTCAAGTACTTCTAGATTCTAGATTTTCAACCGTAATCTTCCAACAATTCCTCCTGCATGTGGAGTTAGTGAATCGAGTGAGTTCCGCCGCTGCGCTGAGACCTTCACAGCTGCAGATGACCTCCTGAGAGGCTCTGAAGGCACTGCCCTTGCTACAAGGTATCTTTGTCCTTGCAGTTTGGCCAAGGGGCCACACGCGGCACTGAACCCTTCAAACCGCAGTGTCATTCCCAGCCATGCAGGGAGAGCACCTCCTCTTCCGCACCAGTATGCGTCTTGAACTCAGCTTTGTACTTTTTTGCGGGTGCATCGCCTTGACCTTTCACGCTTTGTTTATGCTTGCACGATCTCATGCACGTTTAATAATATCAAGCAGCCGCATTTAGGCCACCTGGCAAGTTCATCTTCCGGCCTCGCACCAGCCGCCACTTGGTACATCTCAAGAGTGCATGACGAGAACAGGATTTGAACACGGATCTGATATGATATTATGATGATAGATATGCACTTATGATATACAGAAATATCATCTGGCCAGCATCTACTGCATTATCTTGCGCAGTTGTTCATTTTCCTGACAGCCTTACAGATGATGTGCCTGGCCTAAGGAGTCAACTGGCGCTTGCTTCACTCCTTAGACCTGGACAGAGTTATCCGGGAAGGGGACGTCGACATGATACAGGCATCTTCAATCAAGTTGAGTGCAAAGTGCAACAAGGTACATGACATGGCCGCAATTACCGAGGTGGTCCAAGGAAATGGCATTTGATCAGGACATGTGAAAGCACAAATCATGTCTTGACTGTATATGTCTTCTTTCCGTGTGAGAGACACGGGGAGAGGTGGATTGAGGCTTCAAGGGCTTGCAGGGGTGCATAATGGGATCAAGCAGCTTAGTGAAGAAAATTCCCGAGCGAGAGCAAACCTTTTCTGCGGCACCTACGAGGCCCATATGGAGAACATCACTTTCGCTCGCTTCAGCCGCGAAGACTTGGAAGTGACCAGTGATGAGTGTATTATAAAGGCCGGGGGAAGGGACGCGACGAACCATCATTGATCCCCATGGGAGCGGATGATGTACACTCAAAACATCATCAAATACATTTGATGTACAGATCAAAGCTGTGAGTGTTGGGCATTCATGTTGAAACTTGACTAGGTCAACGTTGCGCAAGAATCCAGCTCCATGAGCCAGGAAAGACACATATAATTAGTACTTCTCCATTCAATGGTATGGTTTTGCTTTTGCCCAGGTGGTGCAACTCTCACAGCTTTGTATGGAGTTTCTGATGGCCACGTGCCTTGGACCCAAACCCAGGTGTCCGAGCTTTGTGGCTGGTGATTCTCAGAATATCTCGGAATCCTTGGCCTGTTGTGATCGTTCTTGAGTTCCAATAGCAAGTGAGCCTTTTGTCATCATCATTTCATGAGGTGCTCAGCCTCGCAGCACCTTATTCAGGCCTCCGGTCGCTCCTGCAGAAGCAAGCAACTCACGGCCACACGCGTCGGAAGAAGCCAATGTGACTCAATGTGACTCAGTATTTATATACACATTTTCGTGGAGTTTTGGAAGCTGTCAGATCTGTCAGTCAGCACAGCGCAACCCAACCCCAAGAGAACCGAGAAAAGACACTTTGTTAGCCTCATTGCTTGTTATATTTTGACTTTAGATTGGGCGGGGTGTTTTTACATTGTTACGCTCTGCCGGCGAGAGCGTACATGTACTTGCGTACACAGACTAGATCATACTGTGTGTGCATACGTGAATGCTGCTGCACTACCTGTCCGCAACAAAAGGGCTCTCCAACAAGCTGAAACACACTTGCCAGGGGCTTACCGAGCGTGTGCGGGTCCAGGCATGGCTTCCGTGGAAGATGAGAATCTATATACTGGTACTTGTAATGGTAGGGATGGGGGCAGGACACACACCCATTTCTCGTAGCAATGTGACATGAGCAAGTGGAACAGGGCTGCAACAGAGTTCTAGCATCCTAAGAGCGAGGTCCACCGCACACATTTGCAAATGCAAAACCTCGCACTTGGTTTGAGCTACTTTGCCACTTGGTATAAAGGGCTAGATTGGCTAAATGCAACGCAATGAATGCGGTGAGTGATGGGGTCCCCGCTATTCCTCATTTGGATCCTTGAGCGAATAGTCCAAACATGCGATGAGTTCAGCCCAGGCTGCCCAGCTCAAAGTGGCAGATACCCGCCGGCGTAGCGAAAGGCCAAGAGCTGTCGGCCAAGCATCCTCCAGTAACTCTTCCCACCAATTCAGGTCGCTTTTGTGCGCACCTGTGCACAGGCCCTCTCGACGGCCACCCCCAGAGCGAGCACCCATGCCACAGGCACCGATAGAAACATATCGGCATTTCGTGACGTTTTCTCAGCTGTCTTTGTTCTCAATTGGTTTTCCAACATCCAGAATGGTTTGTAAGTGGGAGGCAGTGTACGGATAGAAAACTTTTGCAAGGTTAGGAACCGTCTAGAGCCAAGAGTTCAGACATGTTCAGACCATCAATAAGAACTTCTAAACAGTGATCCCGTCCTCCCTTCCTGAGGCAGAGTATGACAAGTAGAATGTGATTCACTGTATTTAGCTATGCATTGCACTGCAGAAGACCTTAGCAGCTTTCTTGAGAAAAGACACACACACACACATATATATATATACACACACATATATATATATATACACATCATATTGTACATTGGCATGTGGCGACGTCCGTTTGTAGCTTGTTGGGGAGGCAGCTCAGGATATTATTGTTTCAGAACCAAACCACATGACTTTGGTAAGTCATCATCAATCTCTCCCTGAGTTCTTCTCTCTTTGCTTCAAGCAGGTGTTTGTCCGCAAGTGTCCGCATTGTCCAAAACGATTCCAGAAACTTGGCAGCTCATATGGTCGCGGCAGAACTTTCATGAACATCTATTCATGGTTCGGTAAGAACTGTGCGGTGCACCAATCCAAGAAACATTTCACCCAGGGCTGAACCGTTCCGTTGCAAGCTAGCCAGTGGTAGGTATCAAAAGCAGAAACCGTGATTGCTCAGGACCGAGCAATATCTCTACGAGCATATGTCTCGGCGCCATATCGCTGATGTCTTCGAGCCTCCTCCGCTCTCAAACACGCGACTGCAGGCAACTCTCATGGCCATTGTATCATTGCGGTATCATGTCATTCTTTGAGGGCGAGCCATGAGGAATCGCAGAGGGATCGGCCCTGGAAGGAAAAGCCGCCAGAGCCGGAGCCTGTCCTAAGTCCCGGTCGAGCAGGACTGACCTTGCAGATGCCCTTGTGGACATAGACGCAACATCAAGCTCGCGAAAGCAGGTTAAACCGTGCGAGGGCCTGGAGAGGGCAAACATTGTGGTAGAGAAGCTGAGTCTTGTAAGTCAATACAGGAAGGTATATAGAAGTATTGGGGCTCACGATTGGCCTCCAGGCTGGGGGCAAGTTAGGCGTTTCGTGGCGTTTCCAAACTACCATTTTTTGCGCCAACCAGCAGCTGACCATGTTGCTGCTGCACATTGTTTTTTCTTCCCGGCCGCCTGACGTACACAGAGACAGTGGCCACAGGACTTGATAGCTCTGAGATCTCAGAGGCCTTGTCAAACCTTCCGTTGCTGGATGCGTTGAGTTGTGATATCGCCAGCCGCCAGCCACACGACCCGCTTTAAGATCTGTTTGCTGCCAGGGAAGATTGGGTGAACATTGTTTTCAATGTGATGCTTTTTGAGCTGTGTAACCTAACGCGACCGCAGCAGCCGTCCTGCCGCCCGTCCCGCGCAGACAAAGTAGGCATTTGCCGGCACTTGGTGCAGTTCCTCACTGATGCAGTCTCTAAGTTCAAGGCTCACTCCGCCACCATGGCGTGCAGCCGTCCTGCGCCCGCATGGGGACTGAAGGGCGGACGCTTGGAGAAGTGAGAAGTGTTACCTTCCAAGCCGACGATCAGATTGAACATCGGCTGATCACACAAACATGGACACAGTTGCAAGAACCAAAATCTGAGGAGCTTTGCATGGCTGCTGCTTTTGCGGCTTTGCCTTACTCATCAGGTTGAGGCTGCCAGCATTGAGTTCTGTGACCTAGTGACTAGTCGCTCTAGGGGCTAGTGTTTCCACCAAATCAATGCACTTTGTTATGGTACCAGGTGAAGAGACACGCAACGGTGGATGTAGCGGTCGGTGCTCAAGGACCGACTCCGGTGGTGGTGAACAAGAAGCAGCCGCCAATATAGGATCCTTATGACCGGTCATCGGAATCGGACTGATGGATTTTTATGAGAGCTTTTCTGAGCTGGAGGAGATGTAAGCTTGATGCTACCGTGGCCCTTGCAAGAGTGGCATCCCGAGTGGGACTGACGCCCACATTGCAAGCCCGGCCCTTGGGCTGTTGTTCGTGAGGTCGGGCATGCTATGCTATTCAGCGCCTTATTTGCAACTTGGCGTGATATTATATGATATTATGTATGAGTTTGCTTGCTTCTCTTGCTTTTGTTGAGGTTGTCATGCTTAATTGACGCGACCTGTGTGCGAGGTATGTCTCCTCACGCGAGGAATGCCAAAGCTTTGCCCAAGAACTGGGTCATGAGTTCTATGCTCACAGGCTGGGAGAACAGGGGTTCTCAATTCTCACGACAAAAGCCAGAACAGTTCTCAGGGGTTCTCAGAACAGGGGTTCTCAGAGCACAGGGGTAATTCTTGGTAGACAATTTTCGCAATTGTTGCGAGATGGAAAGTGCCGAGACTCTGTCGCTTTCGTTCATGGTGCCTCCAGATCATGTGCCTCCTTCGCTTGAAGACTTCAGGTCAGATTTGCAGCCAGAACGCTGCATCACATTTGCGCCTTGATGGCACGTCGGGTGGGGCCGCCTTGGTAAGATCAGTGATGCTGGCGGTGATGAAATGATGCTGGCTGCTAACAGTAACAATAACAGTCGTTTACCTCCACCAGTTGCACATCCCACTACGTTCTTACAGAGTGTGTGCGTGTGTGTATGTAACTATACCTATATTTCCAGATGGCTGCAGTGACTAAAACACCGCCCAATGCAAACAGAGAGCAACATGATATACTTGGCTAGCCTTTGGATATGAGGATGACTGCTCCGCCCCTGCATACAGCACATCCTTCTGGAAGCTCTACACCAAGCCTGTTCATGGCGGCCTGGCATACACTTCATTCATATTCATATCTTATTTTTGTCATGCTGGCTGTTGCTGCAAAGGAAGCGCGGGTGGCAGCAATTGAGGTTCAAGCCAGGAGGTGGACGCAGTCAACGCTATTGATGGTGATGGTATTTGTGTTGATCCTTAGCCTGCAGCTGTACGAGGGTGGATGGGAATGGCTGTTGTAATCCAAAATCGCATTGTTGATGCCAATAGGGGCTGATGAGGAGGAAACACTGATTGGATGCCATCAAGCGCCAACAAGACTGCTGAGGGTCAAAGAACAGTATATAATGTATATAAAGCAGAGGAACATTGTTTCCTGACCCTCGAAGGACACTTGGCTACCCGAATGGACAGAGGATGCCACCAAAGCCTGCGAGAGCTGGGCACGAGATCGAAAATGGGGAGCCCTACGGGCAGGCGGGGAATCATGCAAGAACTTGTTGATGATGTGGCTGTGGGGAAGGATATTTTCGTTGCTTTGCACAGCCTCATGGTTTGCCCTTTATCCAGTTCAGTGCCTCAAAGTGACGGACTGACATGTTAGACATGGAGGACGAAGCTTGAAGAAAGCCTGCGAATCATTTTGGGCGCAGCTGAATTGTGCAAAAACCTGCGGCTGTCCAGCAGACACTGCAAGTTCAGGCAGGGTCCCTTCCAAAGTATACATATATATATATAATTGTCATCAATGCCTAGCACCAGGATTGAGAGCTTCAGATTCTCAATGCGCTCCAGCTTTGCAGCAGGTGACAAGATAGAGGAGATCCCGGACACTTCCGTCACCAAAGTTGTTATGTCAGTGGAGGCTTGCAAGGAAACTTGCCAGGATGAGAGACATGGGCCCTTATTCTGACAGACTTTTGTTCAATCCGGAGCTAAACATGAGCAATCACTCACGGCCTATTTCCCAAGAAACTGTTCGCGACGGGTTCTTCGGGAGAAGTTTGGAACCCGAGCTCTTCGGCGTTTGTTCTAGCAACTGCGAGACAGCTACCTGCCCTTGCCGGTCTTCACGCTCTATCCCCTGCAAACCAGAAAGTACATGGAGTTTGCCTTGCAAGATGAATCAAGATGATGAGTACGACTTGTGCTAGTTTGGATACTGCAATGCCAAGGATAGATGGCTGCCCGATTGGGCCACCAACTCTAGCCATGCGTGCTCCGCTTGGGCACAGGAGCTGAGCTGATGTGCTTTTTGTCGTTTGCTGATGTGGAGTGGAGTCCAGGGAACAAATTCAAGCAACGGCCCTGGGGACAATGCTCATTGGGATGCTGTCACATCTCAACATTTGCATTGGTGCCCACAAGTTTGCTGAGAGTTTGTTTTTGGTAATTGTACTCCTTAGCCGAGCCACAGGTGTTTCCCCTTGTTGGTGGTTGGAGAACTCATACATTCACGCCTTATATATATATATTTGTATTTTTCACTTTTTTTGCGTGAGGCATCCTGGGGAGCTTTGCGTGATGGTAGCCTGGCGGAGGCTTGTCGGAGCAACTGGGCGCAGGAGACATCTCATGAGACTCGCCGGTACCGACTTGACCAGGGAATGATACGGGAGTTAAGAGCCTCCAGGGAGAAGAGCCATTGGCATATGAAACATAGAAATCATCAACCAGGAAGACCTGATTCCTTTGAATGACTTTTGTGGCCCGCTTATCAATCAATTCACCCCGGCTTGACAGATTTCATCTTCGCTGGTCATGGTCCGGTTCCGTAAATGATAAAGTCGCCTGTGTCACAGGAGAGCTGTGCGAAAACCTGCGGCTGCCCCCAAACACACAAGGCTGGGTTTAGCGTGATTAGCCAAGACTCCCCAAATTATATAGGAAAGAACAAAACAACATAAACAGAGATGAGCAACGGACCCCTTTGGAGAGTGATCCGGTGTGAACGGACCCCTTTAAATTTCTTCTGGCATGGGCCCTACATTCTAAACAGCTGTAATTAGATGTACTGTAATTAGGGTGGCCCACTTTACGGTCCCTCGTACTTTGGGTTGATAAACAAAAACATGAGAAGCCATGACCAGCTCGTTGGCTTGCAGATCTTGTTTGGTTCAGGCGAGGGATATGTAGTCAATGTGACATCATTAATTAAGTACCAGAAAAATGAAAAGCATTGAAAAGCCTTGTGTGTCTCAACGGCCCGGGTTCTTCCTCATGGTGCTCTTGGCCGTACGCAGGCCAGCACTCCACCAAGTGGCATGTCGGCCTCGGATGGTCTGAAGAGAGGTGATGAGGATGCTGCTGGGAACAACTAACTGCCCAGTCTCATCCTGCAATTTTGTTGCGACACTCACTCCTCTCAGCACCATACTGGGGTCCCGAAACTTGTCACTAGTGTTTGATTAGCAAGTGCTTAAAGGCTACAAAACAACAACCTCATCGTTTTGGTTTCGGTGAAGTTTGGCTTTTCAACAGGCATGAGCAACACTTAGCCTTGATGGTGGAGAAACTGAGGCTCGGAAATTGGCTGCAGAGATGGCCCAATAGGACATGCAGCTCAAGAGTTGTGGCACACGACAGCGCTTGACGGCCAAAAAAGTCAGCATGTCAAGCCTGCTCAAGCCTCCAAGAGTTTCTCCATTTTTACCGCGCCAGCATGTCTATGAACATACCGAACTTGAGGAAGCATTCGTGGAGGTCAAACTTGGGTGTTGTTTTGGTCTAATTATTCTTCCAGCGAGTCTTGGGGGGTCTCCCTATGTTAATACCCATTTGGATAGAAGATAGGAGATTGAAGTTTGACTATGCCACGTTTCAGGTCTGTGACTGCGACAATTGCACTGCTGAGAGGTCTCAAGTGCACAAATATCGATCCATGTGGAAAAAAAATAGGAAGAAACTGTGAGAAACATAGGTGCATTCTTGAGCCCATTTGTTGGAACTGCAGCAGCAACATGTGCAGAACAACAAGAACAATAGTAAGAACAAGAACAACAACAACAGCAACAACAACAGCAACAACGACGACGACGACGATGACTAGAAGGCTGGAGATGATATTTGGGTTAGTCCAGATGGAAATCCCCTCCTTGGGCCCATGATCCGCTTGGGCTTGGCCTTGGGCAGCTGCTTGGGCGCACTGTCGCGGGTAGCGCCACGGCGGAGCTGTCCTCAGTCAGGCCTTTATTTCGATGCTACGCGGCTCCTTGGACACAGAGGGCCGATGGCCGAAAATCGAGGGGTGAACCACCCTGGTGAACTTGGACAGCCGAGGGCCGACAGATAAGGATTCTCAGAGAGTGGATCTTCATGGATTTTCACCAACCACTCGTCGTCGAGAGATTTTCTTCGTAATTGCACTGGTAGCATGTTGTCTCACGTGTAGAAGTGTAGTAGCTCAGGCTTCAGTGCGACAGTTGCAGCAGCATTGACAGCCAAGCGGTCTTAGTTTCAGCTGAGGACTGCTTCCCATTTCTGGTATTGATTTTATACTTAGACTATAGTTTAGATATATACTCTTACAAGGAAGCAGTTGTTCAAATAACTTCCTCGTTAAACACCTTACTGGAGCGTATGCATGTCATTTTTCTGGTTCGGTTAGGAGTCTTTTTCTCTTAGTTGGTATTGTTTGAACTTCCTCGTTTGTCAGTTCAGGCTCGATGTTCAAAAGCACTTTACCAAACAAGGGCACCTACCTCGGTTGTTGCAAACTAGGTGTATATTTATACCTTTTCATTTCTTGTTTCTCCATCTGGAGGGAGTGCTCATCGATGCCTGCTCCGGTGTGAGATGGACAGCAATTGACAAAACTGCTGCTTCCAAGACACTGCAGGAGAACGCCGTGCTGGCAAGGCAGCTGGAACGCTTGGGTAGCAACCAATGCCGCTGCAGCAATGGTCTAGCCCCTTATTTGGAAGGATCATGATTCGACTGGGAACTCTATGCAACACAAGGTCCAGGGCCTTGGTCATGACAAGACCATGCTTCTTGGACACCGTGGGTTTGCCTTCAGCCTTGGGCAAGCAATTCCAAGGAGCAACCTAACCTGTCAAAGCTCAGGCGAGCAAGTAGGTCCTCTTAGATTTCATTGCTGAACAATGCCGAAAATATGTCGTTCGATCATGGATGTTTTCCCGGGGAGTTTCCCGGGGCACTCAGGACGAGACCTGGACAAGTAGGGTAAGCACATTCAAGTGCCCAAAACCCATCAGATGTTTGAGTCTTTATATTAGTTCGTCAAAGGAGGCCTTTCAGAAATTCAGACCGATGTGAAAATCAACCAGACATGTTGCTCGTCGCTTACGAAAATGGTTGAGACTTTTTCGCTTATATATATATAGTAATAATCGGCGGCTTTGAGATTGAACAGCTGATCAGGTCCAATGCTTTGGAGGGGATCGATGCCTAGCTGCTGATGGCAACACCTCCAGCGTTGCTGGGTTTTTGATTGGCATACTTTTCCGCCTTGATGGATGACAACACTTGCACAGCTGAACCTTGTAGGCCCGAAACTGGTTGGTTACCTTGCAGGCCCGAACAAGCGCCACAGAGGTAATATGATCAATAAATATGTGCGTTTCTCGTTAAAAGGCTCTCCGGTTTAGTGGAGATTTGTGTGATTTTGTCAGCACGTGCTTCGTTTTGGCATGTCCTAAGGTGATGAGTGAATTTATAGCTTCAGGCCCATTTGAGTGCCGGCAATGCCCTGAAGTCAATGGGCAGCCGATGGCACCGACGCAGGCGCTGCTGATGCTGACCTCTCCGAAGTTAGCTTTCTTAAAGACTTTCACGCTAAAGATTGCTACAGCATCGTTGCAACCACCCGCTCATGCGCCTCCCTCCCAACAGGACAAGAGCCGATGCCTGCCATGTTTGGTGGATGAGCCTTGTCTGTCGGTTTCGCTGTGGCCGTGTTCCGTCAGATCCCAGCCGCATCACCCCATAATAGACTTATTTTGCACATCATGTATTTTGGTGAAAAGCGCGAGACACAAAGAGAACTCCTTTCTCGTTGATGAAGCTTTCTCGTTGTTTTTGCAACAGCCTGAGGGCTTGAGGTGAACCCCTTGCGATTGTCAAGAAGTTCTACCTCACGCATCCTAGCCCTACCCAAGCCCTGTTTAGATCCACTAAGTAAATTTGCCCTTTCTCACACCGTGATCCAGGAGAACGACCCGGAGACTACCTCCGGCTACTCAACCACTTGGGGCGATTGTGTGTGCCCTGAGGGCAGCGCGTTGCTGGAAAGGCGCAGTGATGGAGCTTACTTGGCGGCCAAGAAGTGTGTGCGCTGTGCCAGTGGTGCCTTGGATGACCATTCCACCCATCGTAATTGAGCCCGGGGGGGTAGGCCTCTTAGAAGACGGGTGGCTATAGTTGGGACGCTTGTAGTAACTGGACGCAGGACATCTCACGCTTCTTCACCTGCCTGAGGGTGGTGGGGAGCTTCCTTGAAGAAGCGCTCGAACTAATCATGTTGTTCCGATTTTTTTTGGGAAACTTGTGTGAAGTGCGTAAGGCCTACAGTGGGCCTACAGCCTATTAGCATGGGGTAGCCTCTATGATTTCAGTAAAGACGAAGTAATTAGTAATTCTACGTATACTGTAATTATTTGTCCATCCCTGTCCTTGTTGGCATCGTCATGCATTGTCCATGCCCAAATAATATATTTAGGGCCATTATGATACAGGTAAGGGGATATCACGATTGTTGAGCAAGGCCTTGTGGCCTTTACTAATCATCATGGAAACCTGGTTAGCGAGCTTGTAAGATCCTCCGAGCTTGGAAAATGGTTATGCATGCTTTAAGGGGCAAACAATCATATAAATATGTTCACAAAATGCATTGAGGACTAAAGCTTGTCATCAGTTGATGGCATCATTTGTTTGAGGCCTTCTTTTCAGCTCTTCCTCTGAGCCCTTGCCCAGCTATGGCTGTACGCCATGCCCAGATACCGAGCGCATGTACCGACAGGCCTCGACCGGGAAGTGCATTTGCCGACAGGCAACCACCAATGAGGCAGGCTTTGTTGAGGCGGGTGGCGCTTGCGTTTCCTCTGCGGAGTTCAATGAGGTGAACAACCGCTTCCCGGAGTCAGCGGCAGTGTATGTGCAATATCGGGACATCATTGATGGGCGCGAGGCCTGGTGGAAAGCTGGCCCTTTTGGGCAGTTTTTGGGAATTGAGGCGCGAACCGCCAGTACGTTTGAGGTTCTGAAATTGGATGCTGCTGGCGCACAGGATGTCAGTGTGACTAGTGCTGCCATGAAGTGGCTGTACATGCGCTGCAGTGTCGGCTGCCTGAGAGGAAATGCCACAGCATGTCAATGCGTGTCCAACCTGTGTGTTTTGCAACTATATGACTATGAGGCCACAGTTTGCGCATTTGTCCAAGATCTCTATCAAGGCAAGGCGCGCGTGCCTGGCAGCACTGCAGTGGAGGGGATGCCTTGGTTGTACTACTCACCTCAACGCCCAGTTCAAACTTTGCAAAATCCTGTCCTGAACTGGCGGCTGAACTTTGCAGATGTACTGGTTTTCTGGCTGGCCTCATATTCCCTTGAAGCTTGCCCCGATTTAGCGTTACGCGTTACCCCTATCAGTTCAAACATGTTTGGAAGTTAAAGCAATCTAGTTTTGTTGTGCCACGTGGAGGCTCGTGGGACACCGGATCTCTTCATTAGATAAGATCTGGTCTAGTCTTATTGGGTTGGATCAGGATCCATGATGATCTGTATGGCCATACATGAACATACTCACAGAAGCTTTCCGAGGAAGGCGCTTGGCTGGGCTGGCAACGCCTGGAATCGCAGCTAGACCCCTGTTCGAAAGGTGGCACGTCTTCAAAGCCTCGAAGCTTGCCATCTGCTTGGCGGCGTTTTGGAAGCCACTTCGACTGCAAGAAGAGAGCTTGACATAGCTTGACAACATTTGAACGGCACATGGCTGGCTTGAGCAGATTTGGTTGCATGTCCTGGCCAGTGTTTGGCGTTCCAACGTTTGTCGAGGTTCATTGCGCTCTGAGTGCAACATCTTAGCCAGCAGCATACTTGAGTGCGGCCTACGTCCTGTTTTCTATGACCTTTTTGTCGACACGTGGCATGATTTGGAAACGGTTCGCCCTTCCCTGCTTCCATTTCAAGAAGAAAGGACAGTAGATCAAAGAAGGAAGCAGCTTGGATGGACTGAGTTGAGTTGGGGGACGAAGATTCTAACTTGCAATTCACTCGTTTCCAAGGAAAACACCGATGGCAGTTTGGTTCCGGTACCAGTCCGAATCCTGAACATCGTCACGCAGACTGGTGGACGCCCGAACCTGAACCTGGCTGACACGGAGGCCAACGATGATGTCCTGGTCCGCCGCTTCATGTTGTGTGACGGCATTTCTGGCCGGGAGAGTGGCCCTGGAGGCCCTGGTGAGGCTTACTTGGACGGCACTGGCTACCTGCGAGTACTTCGTTGGGCAGCCCACCTCGCAGTGCAGGCAGGACCCCGGCAGGACCATGCAAAATCATGCAGCATGAAGATATTGAACTGCAACCTGCAACATAAAGTTAAAGTTTCTTTTTCCCCAAACAGTTTACTGTTAGGGGTTCTCAATGCTTTAAAGAATGGTCACCTTGGTGCTGGATGGTCTGGTCGGGTTCCCGGCCGGCTTGTCTCCCACTTCCTTTTATTTGTCTCCCAGTTCTTTTCATTTGTCTCCCAAGCTCGGTGCTTGTGGTCGGGTTCGCGGCTGGCTTGTCTCCCACTTCCTTTCATTTGTCTCCCACTTCTTTTCATTTGTCTCCCA